TATGTAATATGCAATTAAAAAAGAGACAATTTAGTAGAAAGGAAGAATAGCAGAATGAAAAGATTGTATGTGTTATAATTGTATTATAATAACGTTATATCCGTCGGCTATCCCCAATATAATCTGAAAAGGGTGGAAATAAGATGTGAAAGTTAGTGCAGAAGATCGCGCGATACAAATCGTGTTACATAAAGATATTAATATTTGTTTGTTCATGAATTTGTATATATTTTGCGATAAAACTTTATAACTTATACTTCACACATTTACCTGATATTACATTTGTCCGACACATGAGATACCTATCCAACAGATCCCCTCTCTCATTCTAATGAGAATCGTAATTACAACGCCCTGGATCGAGGCGAATGCTAGTGGTGCTATCTGACTTAAACTGGTGTCCGTCACACAGGAGTTGTGCTTCAACTGCTCCATAAGTTCATCCCTTGGTTAATAGTGACTCTGCACTCAAATTAAAAATTAAATTAGTGCTAATTATAATCGTGAAAATTTTAACCTACAACGATTATTTAAAAAAGCAACACATAAGTTTCTTGCTCAATCTTCTTGTAATGAGATAGCTTTCCGAATGAGTGGTAGATTAAAAAAAATGTTATAACTATGGGACACAGTTACCAGATACATCTAAATAATAATTGCATTTAATAATGCCTAGTAAGACAAATTCAATATTGTCTACTAAGCACTGCTGTGTCCAAACTGTGTCATCCCATCTTACATTTTCCTATTGTCAATTAGTATATAAGATCATTATTTCTATGTACATATAGTCAGTCTATTATCATCTATAATATACATCGTCTCTACCAACAACATCGTATCATTTACCCGCAACAATGACTATTCAAAAGTGCTTAAATTAAGTTTATTTGAATAAAAGATTTTCTATTCTATTCTATTCTAATTGTTGTCCATTGAAGCTGTAAAGGCTAACAGTGGTAAATTAGGATAGTTCGAAAAAAAAATAAAAGGTAAAATTCTTTCATAATAATTTTCTGATAAAGTAAACAAATTTCACGTAAGCGAGATGAGTGTTATTTAAATAGATTTCTTTAGTATGATAATCCTTAAAGTTAATGAAATGTCATTCACAATAAGTAAGTATAATACTAGGATTATGTAAGTCTGAACTAAAGTAGTGATTCATTCATTCGGCTCACGTTAAACCCGAAAAAGGATTTCGAGAATCTAATAGGATTACAAGCATTAATGTAAAAGGTCCAAGTTTCAAGTGTATAGAAAGGTACTTAGGTTAGCTAGTTAAGTACTTTAATGTTACTATTGTACTGTACTAATTTAAAATGCTAATTTTATTAATAATAGTAGATTAGAACTTTTTATTATGACAGAAAATAGACCGAAAATATAATAGAATATTTATCAGGGTATTACAATGTATTTTTATATGAAACTAGCTTTTGCTCGCGGCTTCTTCACGTTAATTTATCCCTTTAGGGGTGGAATTTATCAAAATCCTTTCTTTGGGGATGCCTACGTCATAGTAGCTTTATGCATGCAAAATCTCAGCCCGATCGGTTTAAAATTGACAAAGTTTCATACAAACTTTAATCCCCCATTTTATACCCTTGGGGGCCGAATTAACCAAAATCCTTTCTTAGCGGATGCCCACGTCATAACACCTACTTGCATGCCAAATTTCAGCCCGATCCGTCCAGTGGTTTGGGCTGTGCGTTGATAGATCACTATGTCGGTCACCTTTGAGTTATATATATTTAGATTCTTTATATTACCATTTACACAGCTATATGATAATGTATTATACAAACACAGATGTACAGTTATAGCTTTGCAATTATAATATTGGTATAGAAGTATGAATAATAAGGAATTTAAAAATAATGACTAATACTGATTAGATACTTGACATGACTAAAGTTGAGAGCGTTAGGTTTACCACTCAGACTTAAAATGCAGCGTTAGCACTAGTTAAAATAAAATAAATTCACCGCACGTTACAAAAAAAAAATTTCAAAATATTTATATCAGTTCTTGAGACAAGATGACTTTGTGTGGATTGTCCAGGTGTATTATTATTATATACATTATATACAGAACGATACGCAATAATCATTCTCATGTATACACGTATTTGTATACGCAAGGATTCGAACCCACAACCATAACAAATAAAGCGCTGTGCTAAACCGCAAGACCACCGAGGCCGTCAGAAAATCTTCTAACATAGAGCATTTTTATTTAAAATATATGTTCTGTAATACATAATAATACACAATAATACAGCAATACCTATACTGGTAGTATGAACGATGAATATTTAACTCGTCAAAGGTCGGTATCAATAAAAAATGAAACAGAACACGTGGTCTGGCTCGGACGAAAGATTGCCATTCGAATTTTTTAATTTTTGATTGCCGTTTGCGGTTTATCGTTGCCACAGTATAGAGGGTATTACTGTGATAGAATTAAGGTTGAAATTTCAACTAAATTATACGTGCATCACTAGATAGCATGTATGACTATATTGTATAACTAGCCGTTTTCTATGCATTCGTATGGATAGAATCATTTAAATGTGTATCTCCTAAGATATATGCTCGTTGGCTCAACATGGTGAATCTATAAAAGAGTCCGAAAAAAAAAACAATGTCACCTTCTTTCTTTCTTTTCTAAAAAGACTCATCAAACCTGTTCAGGTATGACGACGCAAAATAGCCTATTTTGAGAATTGAAACTTGTTGAAATCCATATTTCCATAAAACCTTACAGCTTACTTAGTCAAGAAACCAGATATATATTACAATGGTGGTTTATTTTGTAATGGAAAAGAATCCACTTTTTTTTATTATTCCTATAGGAACGGAGAACAAATTGTGCAGTGATTATATATTAGGGCTGCAACGATAGAGGCCTTGCAGTATTATGCTGAGCACAGATCTGTTTGGTGGGTGCTTATACACAATGAATAACTCCGAGCTGTATAGAAATAGAAATTCTTTATTAACAATATAATTCCCGTATATTTTCCACCATATTTTATTTAAGAATATTTTTTTCTTTTTTATGACTAAATGGCAAAGGAATTATTACATACAGCTTAAGTACATACGGTTTAATAAAATGACACACACTTCGGTTTATGCATATAAAATATTATGGTACAAACGTCAACAATGAAAAAATATTTTTTTCTTATTTATAACTACGTGGCAACAGAATTATTACATACAGATTAAGCACACACCATCATGTACGTATGATTTAATAAAATGATACACACACTTCGGTTTATACATATAAAACATTATGGTACAAACATTTTTATTTCTTTTCTGTTTACTCTTTCTTTATATGAATACGTATATTTATTTCTTAATTATTAGTAATATTGACGACTTCGGTGCTCTAGCGATTTAGCACACCGCTTTACGTCCGATGGTAGCGGGTTCGATTCCTTGCACAGCACAAACATTTATATTCATAAGTATGATTGTTTTATCGATCTGGGTTTTTCTATAATATTAAGTATGTATTTACAAAAAACAAAATATATTGTATTTATATCAGTTATCTAGTAACCATAAAACAAGCTCTGCATAGCTTGGGACTAGATGTCGCTGTGTGAATCGTCCTGAAATATTATTACTATTATTTTTTGTTTTGTTCATTGTATGTTTTATTTGTTTTCATTTTAAGTCGATTGTGATTATGGGTGTCATATTTCTAAGCGTCCACGGACATACATACATTTAATTTTATTTATATAATAAGGACCCTACGAGTTGGGGCTATTAGTAAACTCAGAGTCAAGATAAATTAATTGTACGGCCAGACCATGCGCAAAGTCCTACAATTGTACTATAACTGTGCAAATTTAGGTGATATATTTCTTGGATAGCGTGTTGGCACAGCGTAATTGGTATGTAGAACGGCAAACGTTTCCCTTTGGGAGCACGATCTGAGGTTTCGGAGCCTTTCTCTATATATACACGTATATTATCAGATATGTTTGATTTAAAATGAAATGTCTTCATTCATCAAATGATAGAATATGTCTTTATATAATTGGAACATCAGACAAGCAGACGACCAACAAGATTACAACTTTTTTTGGGCATGGTGATTTTCTGTGGGCACCACAAACTACCAAGCATCAAGCACCTCTCAATTTTTGAAAAATAGCAAGATAAACCATAACATAATTATAGTCCGATCGAAACCCCGTCCAATTCAAATGGGAATCGAATTTACTACAGATTTTCGAATGTTCGAACTCCTAGTGGTGTCCTCAGACTAAAGTCGTATCCGTCAGGCGGGAGTTGGCCTTCAGCCGCTCCATAAGTCAAACCGCGGGTTTGGAGTGCCATCTGCACACGTCCCCTATCGTCCGGTGAAGCTGTAAAGGCCAGCTGCGCCTAACAGCATTAGAGTAGTCCGAAAATATAAAATATAATTATTGTATGGAGTACGGAAGCAAGTATTTCTAAAATGTAATTAAGATATTCGTAACTTCACAACTATGTCGTTTACAAACTCAAACACTGTAATCGTATTAACAATTGACGTTAGTTTAAACGTGTTCGCGCAGTTGTTAAAAAAATTTAAATGAATACAAGGCTGTTGTGAAGTCAAAGCGCCTACTTATTTTATTTACGCAAATACTACACTTTTGCGATTTGTGCTCATACAATTTTGTAGTTTTTATTAAGTTAAAAATCTAGAAGTCGTACAAGTTACTCTGCGTCTTTAATTTCATTATTCCCGAAAATCCGCTGTGATTACTCCAGAACATGGTCCTATATCGAAGCCGGATGTGAATTAAATGCGGATCAGTTATTATTTTGTGGAATTAAATCGAAATACAAGAAATAAAAGAGAAATTAATTGGATTCAAGTTGACCGGCAGAACTACCTACCATTGGATGTGAATCGAGTGTAATTTATAGTGGTGTTAAGTATAAATTACTATATAATAAACTTATCCCAACACTACAGGTATATTATAAGTAAATCAAAAACTTTATTAAGGTTAGTAAACGATAATTACGTTATTTATCTGTATCACTTTATTTTAACTTCATTGGTTTCCTACCTACTGCATTGTGAATAATATTAGTACTTTTTCATAATTTGCTAAAATTAACTACAAATCTACTTAATTAAGTATAGTAAGCACTAATGCTACATTGTTTGAGTTAATTATCAAAATATATGCCTTATAATTGCAAATTTCAATAGTTATTCACGTCAGTTGTATGTAAGTAAAGTAGGTATAACTAATTCTTTTGTGTTAAATGTTACTTTGGTGTTTGGTGTTTAATTTTATTGTCAGGTTCTATATTATTTTACAATTTAGGTACTTAAGGAATCTGTACATTTATGTTAAACAAATAATTTGCCGTATGTACGACAGCAAGTTAAGAAACAATCTAGTATTTTCTCTATTAATGTCAATTTGAATCGGTACTTATGCTTGTGCATATGTAATATATGTAATGTCACAACATTTACAGTACATTTACTAGATTTATATAATATACATATAAATATATTTCTTTATCGAATTAACATATTGTTAGCTTAATATTTTATATTCATACCTATTGATCGTAGATCTTTATTTCATTAATTAGAATTAATTTTTTAATTGTATAAATTCCAGGTCGACAACACTCGAATCCCATAATGACCGAAGAAAAGGAGTTAATAAAAAAGCGAGGCAGTTTTAAAGGCCGTTTAACTGCATTTATTAATTATTTGCATACACTAACTGATGAACCGTTAAGTCTCTCGGATGCCAGAGAATTACAATTACGTATGGGTAAAATTGAGTCGTTGTATGAACAGTATGATCAGGTACAGTTGCGCCTTGAATGTATAGTTGATAATAGTGAAGAGCAATTTAAAGAGCGCTCCGACTTTGAATCACAATATTTCAAGGCAATCGCGAAAGCCCAAGGTTTACAAAATGTTAATGTTGAGACTATGAGCAATATGGGTAGTGATGGAGGTACTCGAGCGAGCAATAATCATAAGCTGGTGCGTCTTCCGACCATCCAGCTACCGCGATTCAGTGGTTCATACGATGATTATTTGGAATTTAGAGACACCTTTACTAGCCTTATACACAACAATGATGAAATAGACGAAGTGAATAAATTTCACTATTTGCGTGCATCGTTAGAGGGTTCTGCTGCCGTGGTAATTCAATCAGTTGAGTTTTCATCTAGTAATTATGCTGTTGCGTGGAAACTTTTGTGCGATAGATTTGATAACAAACGTCTGTTGATACAAAATCATGTGTCTTCTTTGTTCAATGTGGAAGCAATAACAAAGGAGTCATCAGCAAATTTAAAGCGGTTAATTGATCAGGTAAATAAAAACTTGCGGGCACTTGAATCATTAGGTGAACCTGTCAAACATTGGGATACCCTTTTAATCCATATTATTACCCATAAATTAGATAGTAAAACTTATAGAGAGTGGGAGGAATTTAAGGGGCATTCACATAAAGATACTTCAATTACCTTTGACACCTTTCTAGAATTTATCCGAAATCGTGCAGATTTGATTGAAACATTAGAGCTTTCACGTGTCAATCAGGGCAATTTAAATCATAAATCGACTATGAAATTAAAATCTATGGTTTCAGTTCATGGCAGTCATCCACATCAGAATTCCAATACAGCAGAATCACATAATCGAATCTGCCCTAAGTGTAAGGGTGACCATAGTCTAACCGGTTTTTTTTCTTGCGTTGAGCGTTGAAGCGCGCCTAAAGGTACTACCCAGTTTTAAGGTATGTTTCAATTGCTTTCGTGTAGGTCATTTTGCTAATCTATGCAAAAGGCCAGGTTGCAAAATATGCAAGCGTCGACACAACACTCTGATTCATGCAGCCAATGATCATCATATTCGTAATGAAAATAGAGTCGTATCCGAAACTACACATTTAGCGTCGTCTTCAACGACTGCTGCTTCTGACAATGTAACTTTAGCAGCAAATATGTCTAGTTATAATAAAATTCAATGTGATGTATTATTATCTACTGCGTTGGTAAAATTATATGACAAGAATAATCACGAACATATAGTACGTGCAATATTAGACAGTGGTAGTACATCAAGTCTAATGACTGAGAGATTGTGTCGACAATTAAATTTGGAAACCTGTCAGGTAGATAAGTCAATCATGGGTGTAAATAACGCAACTTTACGCGTAGGCAAAACTTGTCATGTGCACATGACGTCGTTGAATAACAGTTTCTCTTCTGAGCTTCAATGTTATGTTTTGCCATCAATCACAAGTAATGTACCCGGTCACGAAATTAATATTTCTAATATTGACATCCCTACTGACATTAGTTTGGCGGATCCTACGTTCTTTGTACCAGCAGATGTTGATATCTTGATTGGTGCCGATCTCTTTTGGGATTTGGTAGGGACGCGGAGAATAATATTAGGTAAGAAAAAGCCTGTATTGTGCGAAACCAGATTAGGGTGGATAATTTCAGGTCCTATCTTTAGTCATCATGACACAATTATGCATTTAAATGATATAAAATGTAATTTTAATAAAATTGATTCTAGTGCAAGTCATGATTTGGACGACATTCGAGCTGACTTGACACGATTCTGGCAGCTGGAAGAGATATGCTCCAAATCAAATTATTTTCCGGAAGAAAGAATGTGTGAGGAACATTTTGTTGCGAACACAACGCGCCTCGATGACGGTCGTTTCTGCGTCCGTATACCGCTTAAACATGATTCTTCTGTTTTAGGTAATTCGTTTCATCGAGCGGAACACTGTTTATTTTCTTTAGAGCGTAGGTTGACGAGCAATCTTGAATTGAGAGATATGTATAGCAACTTCATGACAGAGTATAAATCGCTTGGCCATATGTCAGAATATAAACAGCCTGAGGTAGATGAAAAGGAATATTTCATTCCTCATCACGGTGTTATGCGAGATAGTAGCACGAGCACCAAACTCCGTGTTGTATTTAATGCCAGTTCTCCTACGACCTCAGGTGTTTCTTACAATGACATCCAAATGATTGGTCCCACCGTCCAAGATGATTTGATATCCATATTGCTTCGATTTAGGCAGCATAAATATGTTTTGTCTGCAGATGTTGAAAAAATGTACAGACAAATAATTGTCCACCCGTCTGATAGACATCTGCAGCAAATACTGTGGCGTAGTAATGTAGCTGAGCCAATTACAAAATTCATATTGAACACGGTCACATATGGAACATCCAGTGCTCCATTTCTGGCTACACGCTGTCTAAAGCAGTTAGGAATCGACTGCAAGGATGATAAAATTTCCGAGATCATTCAACATGATTTTTACGTTGATGATCTATTAACGGGCGGTAACGATTTGGCTGAAGTTCAAGTTATACGTAAGCAAGTTACTAATGTACTTGCTTCTGCATGTATGCCATTAAGAAAATGGAAATCGAATAATCCTATGATTGATCCTCAGGACGTTCAAGCATCATCATTCGATTTGAATATTGGGAGTGATGAGCCAAATAAGTTATTAGGTCTTAGTTGGCACACAGATTCTGATGAACTCTGTTTCCCAATAAGTTCTCTAGTTCCTAATGGTAATACAAAACGTGATATTCTTTCGATGATTGCTCGAATTTTTGACCCATTGGGACTTTTGGCTCCATGCATAATTAATATGAAAATATTGTTACAGCAGCTTTGGATTAAAAAATTAGCTTGGGACGAACCATTAACTGATGATATTAATCGTCATTGGAATTACATTCGTAAAACTTTGCCTCTTTTGAACGATCTTCGTGTACCGAGGATTGTTATTTGCGACTCCTGTAAGTCGTCAGAGTTGCATGTTTTTTCGGACGCTTCAGAGCGTGCATATGGAGCTTGCATTTATTTGCGTAGCGTCAGTACTTCTGGTGAAGTTATGGTTCGGTTGTTAATGGCTAAGAGCCGAGTATCCTATTAAGCCTACCACAATACCTAGGTTGGAACTGTGCGGTGCGTTGATGGGAGCGCGGCTATATGATAAGGTCATCACGTCGCTTAGATCGGGAATAGATCAAGCTTACTGCTGGACAGATTCCACCATAGTTTTAGGTTGGTTACGTATGCTGCCTTCTAGACTTCAGCCTTTTGTACGTAATCGTGTTGCTGAAGTCTTAGAAAGGACAGAAAATTGTACATGGCGACACGTACCAACTGATGAAAACTCAGCAGATCTAATATCTCGTGGTGTGGATATTAGTAATCTGCAAGGTTTAAACTTATGGTGGTCTGGTCCGCAATTTCTCATGAATGACTTGTCGAAGTGGCCTACGCAACTGAAGTGTGTTGAAGTTCTCCCAGAAATTAAACCAGACATATCTCTAAATGCTATTGTTATTAACAATAACAATTCCTGTGGGCTCATTGAATTTAGTCGCTTTTCTAATTATTTAAGACTATTGCGATCAGTTGCCTATGTTTTAAGATTTATCAAATATTGTAAAAAGGTATTTGTAGTATCAAATTTTTTAGAAGAGGTAGACTTACGCGACGCCTTAGTTTTAATTATTTCAAATAGTCAATATGAATCCTTTCCCGAGTACAAGTTACTGTTAAATAATGATAATTTGCCAAAAAACAGTCAACTATTAAAACTGAACGTCTTTATGGACGAAAATAAATTAATGCGCGTCGGAGGTCGTATTGATAATTCAAATTTTTCACAAGATAAAAAACATCCTATAATTTTACAGTCCAGTCACATTTTTACAAAATTATTATTTATTTATGAGCATAAACGGCTAATGCATGCCGGTCCTCAATTGTTGCTAGCATCTATAAGAGAAAGGTATTGGCCTATAGGCGGGCGAAATTTAGCGAAAACCTGTTATCACAATTGTATCAGATGTACACGCATGAAGGGTAAAATTGTAACCCCCTGATGGGAAATTTACCACAGCAGCGCCTACTTTCTGGTGGCTATCCCTTTGAAACGGTCGGTGTCGATTATGCCGGACCTATTATGTCCGCTAGTCGACAAGGCCGCGGTTGTAAGCTAGTAAAGGTTTATATTTCAGTTTTTGTTTGCTTCACTACCAAAGCTATTCATTTAGAGTTGGTAGGCGATTTAACTAGTAATAATTATATACTTGCTTTACGTCGATTCATTTCGCGAAGAGGTAAACCTGTCAATATTTATTCCGATAATGGTACCTCATTTGTGGGTGCATACAACGACATTTCAAAATTTCTAAAGACGAATTGTAATTCTTTAGGCGAAAGTGCAGCCTGTGATGGCATTGACTTCCATTTTATTCCGGCGTATGCTCCTCATTACGGAGGTTTATGGGAAGCGGGTGTAAAGTCGACAAAATACCACTTACAGAGAGTGTTGGGTAATTGTACATTAACCTATGAAGAGCTTAACACCACTCTCATACAAATTGAAGCAGTGCTGAACTCTCGACCCCTGACACCACTTTCTTCGGATCCTGCGGACTATAATCCATTAACCCCAGGCCATTTTTTAATTGGGCGGTCTCTGACTTCTTTGCCAGACCGAGATTATCAAAGACATTCCACAAATAAATTAACACGGTTCCAACGCATTGAGCAATTACGACAACATTTTTGGGCTAGATGGAGCAAAGAGTACATTGCAGAATTGCAACAACGTGTTAAGTGGCGTACTTGCAAGGATAATTTAAAATTGAATACGTTGGTAGTAATTAAGGAGGATAATCTTCCGCCATTAAAGTGGAAATTGGGAAGAGTTGTGGGAGTTCATCCTGGTCTTGACGGCATAGTACGGGTTGCTGATATCCGGACATCCACTGGAGTTATTCGGCGAGCCTTTAGCAAAATCTGCCCATTACCAGTATCATCGGAGTCTGATTGAAAGCGTAGCTTTCAATGCCGGGGGGCATGTTGTGAAGTCAAAGCGCCTACTTATTTTATTTACGCAAATACTACACTTTTGCGATTTGTGCTCATACAATTTTGTAGTTTTTATTAAGTTAAAAATCTAGAAGTCGTACAAGTTACTCTGCGTCTTTAATTTCATTATTCCCGAAAATCCGCTGTGATTACTCCAGAACAAAGGCAATTTCATTTTTCTCCAAATTCTTAACAGAAGCTCAAACGTGATACTATAACTACGATAGGGAGTTATTGTGAACACATATACCAGTAAAATTCTTTCAGACTAGTAATTAAAAGTTGTATTTTTACAACATCTTGTGTATACAGTGATAACCTCGATGGTCTAGCGGTCTGGCACACCGTTTTACGACTGGTGGTCGCGGGTTCGATTCCTCGCACGGCATCAACATTTGTATTCATGAGTATGATTGTTTGTATTGGTCTGGGTGTTTTCTATGTACAATATGCATGTAATACATATTATACATACAAAAATATATATATCCATAACACAAGCTTAAGCCTGCTTAACTTGGGTCTAGATGGCGCTGTGTGAATTGTCCTGAGATTATTATTATAACCGTCGCTTATATACAGGTATATATAAATTATAAGTCGCTAAATGATGATCGTGTTACTTCTCAATCATTGCCATTCAGAAGGACTAAGATGTTATACCACTTATCCTATAATTTCACTGCCTTATTTTACTCTTGTACCAAAACACACCTTGTTAAAAGCAAGCTGTTTGGCTGCTGAAGAAGGCGAGACAAGGTATCTTCATAAATGACCATTTACAAAGTTTATCTCAAAAACATCTAGAAAGATACTCTTTTTGAACTATATTATTTTTAGTCTACTACAAGCAAGTAAGATACCAATTTATAACAAACTGGGGCGCATTTTACCCGCGTAACATATGTTCTAGTTTAATCGCTTATAATGGAACTTTCTTTATATAAAATATTTTTGTAACCGGCAAAGTAATTTACATAAAAAAAAACAAGTCTTTCCTTTGTAATATTTGTTTAAAAAACAGTATTCACCCATGTAATAATATCAGAAATATAGAAAAAAGAAATCGTTTCGTATTTCCAGACATTCCAAGTATTTCTTATTTTTAATGACAAATACTTGGAATGTCTATTGGAGAGATTTATCCACTGCTCGTATGTAGAGCTAAAACTTTCATGCTCTCAGACACAAAGTAATCCAGACATTATTTAACAATGTGCTACTGCCTTCAAAGAGGCCTATAATGGATTATTCATGTTAGTATTTACTTTCTGCTAACTATGTCTACGTTTGGTATTTACAAATTCTTCTTGATGCTTGACTGTACTTAAATTTTAACAATGTCTATACGTGTTGTATATAGACACTTTAATTATGGTTTACCTTAAAATATATTTGAAGAACTTCAATCAGACATTTTCTTTCTGCACAATATGAACATAATTATAATCGCCTATTATCAACAGTTTTTATTTGATAATTTTCTATTTAACTTTATATTATCCTATCTATGATATAGACGTGAAGATATTTCATTTTACTTGCTATGTTTCATTATTCAACGTTCTTAAAACATCTCATTTATTTCTTTACATACCCACATTTGGCAAATTTCCTAAGCTAATAAGATATCTCACCAACAATTTGTTTTAAGGGGCAAAATTATATTATTTCATATTCCCGGTAATATTATTCATTATTCAGCAGTCTGTTGTTGTGGTGCTATTTTTCGTCGGGGACACAGAGAAAAGGCCTGCGTATACAAAGATTCGGGAGATAGTAGCAATAAGGCTCGTACAAACAATCGTGGAGAGGAATAAAATGGGTCAGACGCTCGATACACATAAATAATGCAACAGCATACATAATATAGTTCACATTTTGCGAAAATGTAAAGTTTAACAGATACAGTGACATGAGCAATTGGTAGACACTTAACGCAGAACGCGAGATGCCAGACGAAATTAAAATAAAAACAAACATTTCCAACCCTCGTCACTGTCCAAATACCTAGGTACTTTTAATTTGCCACTCCGTTAAATTGCGATGTCACGAATCTTGTAATTTTGAAATACAATTTTTGCCATGTTTTTTCTATATTGCCCTACTTACACAGTCCCTCCTAAAAAAAGATCGATATCACACGTGGATTAAGAGGCAACAAATACTCAGAATAATATGATTAATGTTTAATGATAAAACAATGATTAATTCATTGACATATCGGACTTTGTAAATATAAAATTAACAAGTTATATCGCCATTAATCAACTTTTGTTTCATTTTGTTTCAGATAATGGTCCGGATCTTCATTGAAATATTAATGCCCTGAGGCAATATGAAAGTTAAAAGGAGTCTAGACGTACGGCTGATAGCCTTGTGCACAACTTGCCTATTGCTTCCAGCAATAGCGTGTCCATCGCAATGTGTATGTAAGTGGAAAAATGGGAAAAGATACGTGGAATGCGTAGAAAAAGAATTAAAGGCGATCCCAAACGCGCTAGACTCCGAAACTCAAGTGCTAGACTTCTCGGGCAACGATCTCCAAGTCTTACAAAAAGAAACGTTTCATAAACTCGGATTACTCGATTTGCAAAAGATTTATCTTCAAAGATGTAAATTACAGAAAATAGATAACCATGCTTTCAAAAGTCTCGCTAATCTAGTTGAGTTGGATTTATCTAATAATTATCTAACTGTCATACCATCGACAAACTTCATTTATTTCCCGTCTCTAATGAGATTATCTTTGAATAACAATCCTGTAACAAGTATAAAAACCCACTGCTTCCAACAGCTGAACTATTTGAATACATTAGAATTGAGTGATTGCAAGATCGAAGTTATAGAAAGAGAAGCCTTCTCAGGGCTACAACATTTAGAGTGGCTACGATTGGATGGCAACAGATTATCAAACATTCAAGGAGAGAATTTATTTCCAGATACATTGCGAGGAATCGACTTGCAAAATAATAATTGGAACTGCGACTGCCATTTGAGAGATTTACATAGTTGGTTGTTGAATTTCAATATGCCCCATGCCGTCGAACCAATTTGCTCTCTTCCTGACCGGTTGAGGAAACGTACAATAGCAAGTATTCCCGAGCTTGAATTGGCTTGCTTACCAAAAATGACCCCTACGTCTGTGTTCCTAGATACGAATATGGGTAGTAATATTACTCTCGAATGTTTAGTTAAAGCTATACCTGAAGCAAAAATAACATGGTTGTATCAAGGGCAAATCATCCACAACTATACAAGCATGTCGACCGACTCCCATGATGTGTACTTTGTTGAGAATGGTGTTACGGACAAAAAGAGTGAGCTATACATATTCAATATTGATACTGACGACAATGGAACTTATTCGTGCGTTGCAGAAAATCCAGCGGGAAAATCACGTGCCAATTATACGCTTAGAGTTATAGTAAAGGAGGAACCTGTAGTTATTGTGGTAACGTTTCCTCAAAGACATTTAGTGGTTATAGTTACAATAGTATTTCTTATTATTGTATTATTAATAGCTATAATAGCTGTAGTTTTATTAAAATTCAAAACCGACACTAAGAGTCGTAAAAAGAAAGAGAGCGGTAAAGATGTAGCTCTGTGTAATCAAATTTTACCTTCCAATCGAAGTAATGGCACAATGCCTAAAAACAATGGCAGCCTCATTGTAAACGCACATTCTCATCACGCGTTGCACTACACAGTGCAAACAAATCGTGATTACGAGTCTAGCGATGTGTATCAAAGCAATAATATGAAAGGCTTTGTCGACAGGAATCCTGACCTAATTAGCGACGCGGAAACAGTCGCTAACAATACTCAAAATGAGAACACAGTGTTATCTGTGTACAAAACGCAAACCGCGAACAGCGAGGGCTTTGAAGAGGAAACCGCTTTCACTGCTCCGACAATACCCCGACAGGTCACGTGGCAGGACCAGCAGAATTTAAATAACGTTAATTTACCACAAAATACTTTAAATAATATGTACCAACATTCTGCTGATGTACATTTAAATCCTGGCTGCTTTTTAGATAGCGATGGTTATCCTTATGATTATGGTCTTCCTAAGCATCCATGTCGACCCCCAATGATGACGAATTACTCAGTCGTTGGACCATTCTATCAAACGTTACCACACAATAGATCGAAAGGACAAAAACTCGTATGTAAATTCGCTAAAGACATGGAATTCAACGCGACGCCACCTACGTGTGCAAATTTCGAGTTATTTAATGCGACAAATGTGAGACGCACTCTAGACGGATATCCGGTGCCACGAAACCGACAAATAGCTTTTGTGGGCAATGGAACAGTGTACTATAACGAGGAGTTTGTTCCGTCCCCGCCGGAAGGTTACAAAACGGAGCCTGCAGTACAGTGTTGTGCGCCAGCGGAAGCCTGCTCATCATGGGTGAATCCTAAAGGGACATGCGCAGTGATGGTGCCTGTTGGTGTAGCCGAGGCTCCTGGCAGGTGTTATCAAGTGGAAACAAGGTGTGTCGATACACAAACCACAGACGCTCGTATGCCCGGTGAGGGCACCGAAAATGTTTTAAAGCCTTTGCCACAAGTGTCGAACGCTAAATGCGCCGCAGATATTTGTTCGGAGAGCCCCGACGAGGGTTACGTGGGTGATGCTAACGACATCTGACGACGTCGTCACAACGATAATGCGTAAACAGGGCAATCTAGACGCTAATAAAGTGATAAAGCGACTGAATATAAGTAGAATTGTACATAGAATTGAACACTTTGACAGTGAACGAAGCGTGAAAATGTTTTCAGATGTCTGTATGTGATATTACAAATGTCTTTGAATTAGAAGTATATCAGTATTATTACTTTTATGCGCGTGTTTTACGCTTCGTGGACTGTCGAGTTTTTTACATAGTGAGTAATAAAATATCATTACCAAATCTTTCCTAGTCAGACATTTCAGGGCGACAGTGTTTTTCAACTAACTAATTATACAGTTTTACCATTCGTTATACAATTAACTTTGTTTACACTTGATGTAACCTTACTCGCAGAACCAAGTTCTGTTTGCAAACTTCACAAACACACGCAAGTTGATTCCAACATATAACAGTATGTAGAACGTGTTTCGAATACTAAATGTATTTCGCATTCCCTTATGTTGATCTGTCAAACTTCTGCTTAGAATGTCTTATGATGTTATGATACTTAATCAACATCTCTTTTGTGCTACACACAAATCCCTTTAAATTTATGCAGCAATGAATTCTCCTAGCTTTGACAAACTATTTCTCAATGTTTACTGTATTTCAGGAGTGGTATAGCGATTCTGAACGTAGTATAATTTATATTTTATGGTCACAAAATTATAGAATACAATGAAAATACTTGTAGTATAGGGACCAAAAAGAATAGAGGTGTACTTCTTTCTCAAATAATTACGATGTAGATGGAAATCAACATTTATTTTCAGTTCGTCTTTTCTTTTAATTCATTTTAGACTAGCTACATCATGCGTTGTTTAATACAAAGTACATCTTGGATATTATCTGTCTGTGTGTGAAATTTCATTAAAATATATCAACCATTTTTACCATTATTGATAATTCCAGAAAATAGAATCATTAAAAAATCAATTTGTTCTTAATCGGGACAATCATTTTAATTATTATGGAATAAATACAAAAGTAGTCTATCGAATGCAAAAAGAATCATCAAAATAGACACAATTATGCTGAAAACATCGGATATAGACGTATCAGTTATCCAAGTTAGTTGAAAAATACAGTCGTCGTTCTTATAATAATTGTTATGAATTACTAAAATGTTTTTTATGTGTGTTTTTATGTCTTTAATTTCCTTTTCGTATGTATTCTTTATATTTTACGGTAAATCTTCTATAATTTGCATAAGTAACTGTAATGTAATTTCTACCTGTAACAAATATAGTTTCACATAAAAATACAACTGTTATTTCTTTTAGAATTGCCTTAAATTATCTGTTTTAAAGTATAAAAACGATTTCATTAGAATAAATATATAAGAATGTATAAAACACCTAAAATTGACCTTATGAATGTAGCATCTATAATACGGAAATCTCACTCATATTGAAAACCAAATTAAAAATACTATTGTTTCAATTGTTATTTGTCAACGCCCTCTGACAGTAATGTCTATATAATCAACAAAACAATTTCTTGTTTCCACTATAGCTTACGAGATTCTATTACTAAAATATTTTAGGCGACCAAGCTACCTGTTCAGTTAATTCTCAGTTTAAGGAGTAATTAATTGGGGTAATCTGAAACATTTGTCTAATTTTACACTCCGTAGCTAATGAAAAGCGTTCATTGTCATCATCGCAGAGCTTAGTACGGTTTCCTTGCGATGACGCCAGGAAACCATACTAATGTATTATTGCAAGCACGAGCTTGAAATTATTCTATCAAGTGTTATTAAAAGCAAATTAACGTTATAGTTAAACTTTTTTATTCATAATTGTACAGGTTATATAACGGGATATGTATATGTTGTAATATCATTATCGGCTACCGATATTTCGATATAGTTACAAGTATTCTGGTCACGTAGACTCGTAACTGTATCGAGATGGCAGTGTAAAACTGTTTGCGATAAAAACTCTCTGGTCTTTCTTAGTCTCTTGCTACATACTCGTACATCGTTTCCGGTGAGCTGTTACACAGGTTCTTCGGGTATCTAGTACAGGCACCAGTATCACCATTTGTACTTTAGCACTAAATTTTATATGTCCAAGAAAATAAGATAAAAAAAATGAAATCGTTGCCTCTATCATCGAAACAACTTGATAGTAACGATAAAAAACACTCGCTGTATCAACTCAATTTTTTAGAGTATATAATTGAACGTGTATCTAAAGCTGCATTAGCAGACTCCTACCAGATCTGGCTGAGCAGGGAGAGTAACGGAGTAATATGAGCGATGAACATGAGTGTTGACGTACGCCGGCAAGGACCCTTAAGGCTACAACCGGGTATATGCTCCCGGGAACTGCTCGGAGTTTCCCAGCTAAATCTGGTAAGAGTCTGCTAGTGCCGCTTTAGATACGCGGTTTAACAATTTTGAACCCAATAGACCGGATGCCTGGTCTATCCATGCCATGGCACGGTGATGGAATGGTAAGAAGTTCATCACATTTGTATTTTTTTAAATAATATGTAACAATGGATGCCACATAATTTTAAACATAATCTGTCTCATTATTTCAAAATTAAAAATTCATAGTGAATATTCCGTTATATGATTATAATGTGTACAATTGTAAAACCATTCAAGAGATTGCTACATCATAATAATGATTTTGTATGTTCATATAAAATAATGTATACTGTAGTGCAATAAAATATTATTTCAATTAATGTGAACAAGAAAATAAAGCACATAAATATACACATAATCTGAACATGCTAAATATTTCATTATTTATGAAATATTTCATTAATTCGTCAATATGAATCCAAATAGCATGAATACCATTTAGGTACGTTATATTTATTTTTAATTATTGTAATTTAAATTTAGAACTATGTATGTATTAATTTCAGTATATTCTTTAAACATTACTCAACTTAAATAAAAATTAATAATAAACAATATCTTGAAGTAACATCGTGTTGAAACAAAACCAAATTATTGTGATGTTATACTTAGGATAGACATTTTTTACTTGCATAGAAAATAAATTCTAACAAATTAATTTAATTATACAATAATTTTAATTATAAAACTTTCATAAATTTTTTGTTGCATAAAAATAATAGAAATATGTTTTTTTTTTTACTATGGAACTCACTAATATATCTAGTGTTAGGAATTTATATATTTTAAGTTTATTAATTTTAAGTAAATAATTGTAACTATTATTTAAAAAAAAATGTAACATTCCATAGACGATTTTATTTTTACATTTAACAATTAAACTCTTTTCAAATTAATGTAATAATTAATGAATAATGTAAATAGTATGTAAATAGTAGTTTTTACTATGAAACTTTTCCGCAAGGAATTAAGTAGTGATTATTAAATAATATTAAATCGATATCAGGGTATCTCCCTCTATATAGAACAGGTGTTTTTTGTTGTTTCATGATTATATTATATATTCCTATACTCTTTCAAGTCATACGAGTATAACGGTAGGTTGGTAAAGTTTCATATATAAATATTTATATACAAATATATTTATATTGATTTGACTGATTTCAGATTATGTTTTTTACAAATATTTAATTCACATTCCTAGTTACCCCTTGTACAATATTAGTTTTGTTTGAAGATAGATAGTTAGTGATTTCTTCAGGAGCAAAACTATCATTACTTATATATGTGATATACTTAATATAATTAACCGGGCTTTAACCTACATTACATGGTAAATAAAGTTACCTTAAAAACAAATTTACCTCTCTTGACATTTCGACTAAGTTACTCTCGCCATCGTCACGAACTGACTGACTTTTTTATTTAAATTTTAATATTAATTTGCCATAAAATAAATACTGTTAAAACTCGTATAATAACATATTATATCTTACAGATATTATCATCGTTCTTGTTGTTTTAAAAATAATTTTCATTAAAATCAAACTACAAAAATGAATAATTAGTTATGAGGGGAATAATCGAAGCGTTAAAAATATTTTTACGCTAGCAACACAACTGTCACCTTTTCTTGCTTATATTTAAAAAAGAAATTACCATATTACTTAGGTGTTGCTATTTATAATGTTAACGTTTGGTCACAATCTGAATAAATTAATTTCGCTTCAGGAAAAGTGTCACAATAAGTCAAGAATGTTATACATAAAAAAATGTACAATTAGATTAGAATTGTACTAATAGTTTCGTGGAAATATGTTGAACGTAAAAAAGAAATACTGTATCCTTAATAAAATCTGAATTACGTTTTCTAACAGTTTATTACAGGAAACTAGTTTATTACAGGTGTAATACCTGCAATAAACCTGCAAGCAATTAATATTATTTTACAATATTTTTAGAAGGCTTGACATATTTAATTAGTTAAATTGATTATATAAGCACTACCTCGGAAAAGGTCTAGCGATATGAAATTATATAAAAGCAGTTTTAGTATTTTATTACACTCGTACATGTATAGAAACATTTTTATTGATTGTTCTAGGAAATTGTTGGTCTAGGAATAATACTGATGTATTTAAATAATAAAACATTATCATATAACAACAAGATTTTACAAAACAATAAAACAAACGAAACTTGAAGAACTATTAGTTGTCATTCTATTTTACATTTGGGAAGGAAAAGAACCTGGTTATTTTTTTATAATAACTAAATTGGATGGTAATTAGTGTAAAATATTTCTGAATACATACTTAGACAATAGACACGTGGTGAGTCAGTCATGTTCTATAAGGACAGCCATATTGTTTTGTGCCTAGTCACCAAAAGAAAAAAAAATAGTTTCACTTTTTATTTTAGATTCGAAATTTGAAATTCGAATTCCAAACATTCCCTATATATGGGGTTTTGAATAAAAATTTATTGTAACTTATCTCTGACTATATTTTATTATTCTGTACAGGGTTTTTCCTGCGATTCACGGAAATTAATTCCTACCGACTAAATTAATTGTGTAAAAGTACTTGAAAGATA